GAAACTGCTTTGTTAATCAGACTGGCATTTAAAACGCAGCCAAAATAAATTTTGTTGTGTCAAGATGATGGCGATGTTATCAGTCGCGTCACGCGTTTCATGCCCTGTAGTGACAGCATGTTTGTCGAAGCCAGGTTCAAGGAACTTGCAAAGTGACTAACGCAATTTTAAGGATTATTTCCATCTTAACTAAGTGCTACTTAGTGCTGTGAGCCACCCCAAAAGTTACGAAACTGAAAATTTACACATCATAAACGCACTGAATGCCCTCAGGTTCAGTGGTCCAACACGAGGGACGTGTCTTAGAGTGATTGTGTAAACAGCGGTTAAAGAGCCCGTAAAGTAAGCAAAAAGTACAAACGTGTTAATTTCCCCTTACCAAACTGACAAAAGTAAGAAGATATCGCCAAATTTCGATTAATACAAGATCAGAGCAATTGGCAGACATAGAAGTCGAATACTGGATAGAGGACCAAATCCACTTTTGCGTCCCTTTTTGAGGAGGACTAAATGTTAATAAATGAAAAACATAACTGACCACATTCTTAAATGCATCAAGTGTCTTTGCCAAGTAGAGATGATGGAAATGCAGATGGACGAAAAAAAAGTAAAAGAAATGTCCAAAAACGAGGCCAAAGTATGAACGGAACATTTCATCTCACCATTACGAGTAATCCTATTTAGGCCTGTCTTCGCAGCACCTTTCATTAATCCACTCCCTAATTTTAGTCTCAACGAATTAGGTTTTTCCCTTTTTTTTCCTCCAAAGTCGGATTTCTTTTTTAACGCCGCAGCCCCTCCAACACGACTACCCCTCTTCGCATCCGCAGTCGACACAACTACAAGCACAAGGAGGCAAAGGAGAGTGAAGCTGAGAGGAGAGATACGCATGATGCATGACCTTCAAAGGCATTGATGTCAGATACAGCCTTCTCTAATGAGCGGTAGACTCAGTTCAAATCGCATTTCTATTGGTGCTGCGTTGGTAGTCTAATCGCCATGCTCTCCAAGGCCACCGAACAAGTAGCGACTTTGAACAGCTGATAATCTCAGGCAAGACAGGATGATCTTGGACATCAACTGTAAGTGTCACTAAAATGAGGGCAACTATTTTGAAGGCCTAAATCCAAGCAATTTCCTAACGGATGGGCTAAAGGAGTGGGCAGTCGTCTCAAAAGTGATTTGGGTGTACAATAGTGATTGTGAAACCGAACCAGAATTCTTCCTTCTTCAAGTTTACACTGGAC